GGAAAGAGCGGACTGTAGGTTGCAGAGGATGGATATGGTTTTGCCATGATAGGGATTGCGATGGCTCTGCTCTGGTTCTCTTGCTGCCTTGGGACCAGTCAGCTTGTGAAGTGTCACTTGCATGGTTTTGGTGTACACAGACCAGCGTTAGAAAATGATGGATATGGGGAGGCTTTTCTGCAGGATCAGCGTATTGCCATTAGAGGTGATGTTCATGTGACAGCAGTGCATTACCTGAGGGGGGATAACAGAGCTGCTTCTCTGTGTTTGGAGCCTGGCACTGTACTCCTGAGTGGAGCCTCTGGTCTAGTCAGTGGGTTTACTTCTGTGCAGAATTATAGCACAACAGGGGAAACAAAACAAGGAAATTCAGAGAACAGACTGAAAAGGGGTTGAGCATCGTCTTTAACCAGGCCCGAGTGTGTGGTGAATAATGCAGCTGAAGCCAAGAACTCGCATGGGGAAGCAGCACAGCAGCTCTGCCAGCCCAGGAGTGAGCGTGCAGGGGTTGTGGCAGGCGCCGTGGTGGGAGATGGACGGGGTCTGAACCCGCACATCGCAGATGCCTGCGTGTGGGAAACCCGTGGGAGCTCCTGTGGCCGTCAGGGCAGGAAGCAGGAGGGTCTTGTGTGGCTCTGCTCCATGAGGGGTGATAGCCCATCCCCACGCAGATTCCCCTGCATCGGCCTTTCCCCCTTGCGTCCCCAGGGCCAGGAGATGAGAGGCGGCACGAAGACGGCCACGCCGCGGTCTGCGGGCGGGCAGGCTCAGAGGAACTCGACCAATGCCACGCGCATCCCGGCAAAGACGCCCACGGCCCCCAAGACACCTCCCAGCTCTGGTAAGTGATGGCGAGGGCGGCGTGCTGCTGCCTTCCCATGGTGTTTCGGGCTCCAGAGCCTCTGCTTTGGCCGTGCTCCCAGGCTCTCCATGCAGCGATGTAGGGGTGTTGAACAAATTTACCCCAGTGCTGGGACTGTGCACAGTGCTAAGCAAGGACACAGCCATCAGGCTCAGGTCCCTGTGGTGATCGGAGCTGCTCAGTGGGAGCAGAGCTGGGGACAAATCCTCTGAAGGGAGCCTTTTTGGATGCTACTTTATCTGCTCTGTTCATATAATTGCCAACGTGTAGGAGAGGGCAGTTGCTTTATCCCTTTGAGATTTCCTCCAATTTGGAAGATTTAGGCAGCTCCAGTTTTTTAATCCATCTATTCCTTTTCTCTTGACAATATTTCACAAAGACCAGGGGCAAGAGGATCAATTCTTCGATTGCAGGAATGGAGATTAGCCCATTATTCTCAGAGAAGAAAACCCCAGAAAGCATAAGGCATTGTGAATTTCCATTAAAATGGTGCATTTCACTGAATATATATATTTTTCATACTTAAGCAGAGCTGCATAAAACCTTAAATCAATTAAATTTCCAGCTTTATTATGTTTAAGCATCTTTCTCATTCATTAAACAGGCAGAAAGGAGCAGAAAAAACCACCTCCTGCAGCAGCAAAGTCTGAGAAAGGTGATGTTTAAGGGTTTTCTTTTCTTCTTCCGTTTCTTTTCAGGCTGGGGACAGGTCTAAGCTGCTCAGTGATTCAGCCTTATTTAATTACGTAAAATAATTTTGTAAGAATGCTTCCAGATTTCTAATAGAAAAGTGGTTTTGTTTGTCTTTTGTCTGTAATTTGTCATGCATGCTAATGTCACGCTAGGGTGGGGGATCTTACCAATGCTCCAGACAATGAAGACCATCTTCCTTCTGAAATACTCAGAGATTGCCTTTAATCACAGTTTTCACTTCAAAATGAAATAGAAGAAGGTGCAGCCATCTCCCTCCTGCCGATGGCCTGCGCTAGGAGTAGCGGGGTGGGCCCTGGGACCAGGGAGGTCAACCCCATAAATGCAGGCGGTGCGTGGGGAAGGAGTTGTGTACCCAGACGGCTCATTCTGTGCTTGCCCTCCTCTGCAAACTTCAGGTGAGCAGCCAAAGTCTGGAGACAGAAGCGGTTACAGCAGTCCCGGCTCCCCCGGGACTCCAGGCAGCCGTTCCCGCACTCCCTCTCTGCCCACCCCACCAGCCAGGGAGCCCAAGAAGGTGGCAGTGGTTCGCACACCACCGAAATCTCCTGCGTCTGCCAAGAGCCGCATCCAACCTTCGGCCGCACCCATGCCTGATCTGAAAAACGTCAAGTCCAAAATCGGCTCGACTGAAAACCTGAAGCACCAACCCGGAGGTGGCAAGGTAAATGTGGGCTCTGCTTTCTGCAGGGACAGCGGGTGCTGGGTGCTGCGTCTGGGAGGGGAGAGCCCTCCCTGGAGCAGCACAGCCCGGCCGGGGCCAGGGGTGCAGCAGTGGGCAGCAACGCTTCTGCTGATCTCCAGCCTGATTCTGATTTGGGGGCTTTTTTTGGGGCTGTTTGGGTTGGGTGCTTGTCCTGAAATTGCTTGCCTGGCTTAGTGCAGTACAGCTGTCCCCCAGAGAGGACTGCAGAGAGCTTGAGATGTGGCTTTCGTGGGCTGGCACATCAGCGTATGGACTGGCTGCCAGGGGAATGACGTTCCCTCGTGGTGTCCAGTTGTGGAGAGCAGCTTGTGACCTGCAACCCTGAACGAGCCACAGGATCAGGGTTGTGTTTCTGAATCCCAAACTGTGTGCTCTGGAGCAGTCCCGTCACTGCTGCCTCCGTTTCTTCAGTAGTGAGCATACAGGATGGTCTCCTCCCTGCAAGAGCTCTTCAGAACGTTGTGATTTTGGATCCAGCTCTGTTGGCAAGGTTTTGGATTGAGTTCTGCCATCAGGCACTGCCTTGCTACGTGATGCACTGGCACAGCCAGAGCTGGTGGCGCTGTCATCCTTTCAATCACACACCAGAGAGGCTGTTTCACCAGCAGCAAAGTGAACTCCGAGTGCTTGGGCACGAGGGTCTGGGGTTGAATTGTGCAAGCCCAGCAGCGGAGAGTTTGAGTGAGGGAGCGGTGTGAGCTAATCCATCTGTGCAGCCCCATAGCAGCAGTGAGCAGTTACACAGCTCCAGCTGGGATGTTGGCTGCTCAGCACCCATCCAGGCCTCTCTGCACTGCTCCGTTGCACTGTGTGGCTGTGTCCCAAGGCTTTTGTAAAATCCTCCTTGCTGCATGGGTGGAGATGTGAAAGCACCTCGTTCCTCTATCTGGTGAAGGCCTGGTGGCTCTTGCACAGATGGTAAATGGCAGAACTGCACATGTGATGGCCAATGCAGTCAGGAGTCCCCGTGTGCTTGTGCTTGCCTGCCCTAGTGGGAAAACACTGCCCTGCAGACCTTGCTGTGTGGCTGCTAATGCAACAGAGCCGTGACAAACCTTCCCGGAGTGCGGTGCATGTCATTTTGTGTGACTGGGTAGCTCTGTGTCTCTGAATGTTTGACTTTGGCATGGGGGGAGGCTTTGAGATGGCTTCTCTTCCCTATCTTAAATAGCAGCGTGCTTTTCTGTTTCCTCATGTGCGTTTTTTTGCCATGGCAATGCACATTTTGCTCTGTAGTGCAGTGCAGGGGGGCTCTGGAGCCTGGGCAGGGCTGCTCTGGCCACGATCATGAGCAGAGCAGCACATCCTTCCTGCTGCCCCTGTCCCGGGGCCTCAGCCCTCCTGCCCGCTTAGCACAAGGCGCAAGTTTTTCCTGCTGCCCCCACAAACCCCTGCTTTTCAGAGATTTTTGGAAGGAAAACCTTCCATTAACTGTGAATTGGTTACATGGTTTGCTTGTTCTTTTAAATCCAGCTTCTACAAGGTTTTTTTTTTCTTTGTCAGCTTCTCTCTCGGGCAAGAAAAGAGTAAGAGCAGCTGGATTTGGGACAGTTCATTGCTCTTTGCAGGGGAGAGTGGTTGGATGGTACGGTGGGGATTTTGTAGGACGTGAGGAGGCTCTTAGAACGGTTGCAGCTGGGGCAGAAGGGGCTGATCCAAGGAGTTTGATTTTAGGGTGGCAAGAAAATGGGTCTGGAGCTTGCTCTCCGTGCAGATTTCACACCCCCAGCCTAGGGAAGCAAAGGTACACGGGACACACACGCCAGGAGTCAGCCAGGGCAGATGTCACCCAGTATTTGTGCACTGTCTGAGCACTTCTGCTGTTGCTGAATCACTGGGTACTGCCCTGGCCAAGCCTGGTGTGGCACAACTGGATCCTGACGTGCAGGGTTAGTTGGTGTGAGCTTGGAAAATGATGCTGGAGGTGCATATCAGCCTTGGTGTTTCTGGTGCTGAAGAACCAGGGTGTAGCGAGGAGCTCCCCTTGCAACAGGAGCAGGGGACGTGCTGAAACGGAGGACTTGGTTGCCCACTCAGCCAGCGTCGTGGATGCCGTCACCCAGGGACTGCATGTGCAGTGTGATGTGGTGCTGCTCTCCTGCAGGATGCTGTCTCAGGCTTGCTTCAGGGGGAGCACAGGCCTGTGTGCCTGCTGGTTTTGACCTGCATTTACCTCTGGTTTACACTTGCACGGGTTGTAAAGCCACTCCGGTCCGTGTAGGGGAAGGAGCAGGGACCATCCTCATCTTTGTGTTGTCTGGAATAGCTGCTCCTGTGTGTGCGGTCACTCCGGCGTAGCTGCCCTTAAAAACCTCAAATAGGGAAAACAGACCCTAATGGGAAACAGCTTAATTAATTAATCTAAAAGTCTATGTGTGTGGGGAGAGGGCAGACAGGCCTTGGGACTGGAGGGTGAAGGCAGCATCATGGTGTGTGGATCCAAGCCATTTCCAGCTTCTCTCCCACCCAGGATGGGGTTGGGAATATGCGATGGATGCCTTTGGGGTTGGTCTGTGCTGCCCCTTTCACCTCATCTACCCAGCACTTGAGTACTGCAGGCATGGGACTGCATCCCTGGCAGCGTTTGCTTTTTCTCTTTGTTAACTGTAGAGGGAGTTTGAGCCCTGCAGAGCTCAGGCATCCTCTCCCAGATGGTGCTGGACACACAACTTCTGCTCTCCAGCCTGCAGCACCGGTTTGCCCAGTTTGCTCAAGCTACTGGAACGTGAGGCTATGTATCTGTCCTGGAGAGGAGCCATGCAGCCCAGCGTGGGAGATGGAGCTGAGCAGGCATTTTTCTCTCAGCTCCATCCTTCCTCCTTCCACTGGCTCTGCAGAAGCTGAGTCTCAGACCACTGGTGCCTTCCAGCACATTTGCTGCCCAGCAACTTCCCTGTTTTGTTCAGTGAAAGAAAACAGGGTTACTTGGCTTTTTTGCTGCTGTTGCTGGCCTGGAAACCAGGGCTGCTTTGCTAGCCAGACATATCCAATCTCTAGCTCTGACCTGCCCACCTCCACCTTCAGTTTCCAACCCATGAGTAGACAAATCTGTGCAGCAAGCCAGAGTTTCTTCTGTTCTCTTGACACTGGAAGGCAGATTCCTGCTTTTAGGGCTGTAACGCGTGGTCAAGCTGCAGATGGTCATGTTGTTTCTCGCACTCTTTTCTGGCTACCAAAGGTGCAGATTATTAATAAGAAGCTGGACTTTAGCAGCGTTCAATCCAAGTGTGGCTCAAAGGATAATATCAAACACATCCCGGGAGGAGGCAGTGTGAGTACCTTCACACTTTCAATGCACTCTAATAGTTCTTATTATACGTGGCATGTTGTATACACTAAACTGCCAATGCTATCTGCAGCGACCCTGCCGTCAGATAGCTATTGGTGACGTGCAATGACTCTTTTCTGGCTACCAAAGGTGCAGATTGTTAATAAGAAGTTGGACTTTAGCAGCGTTCAATCCAGGTGTGGCTCAAAGGATAATATCAAACACATCCCGGGAGGAGGCAGTGTGAGTACCTTCACACTTTGAATGCACTGTAATAATCCTTATTATTAGTGGCATGTGTTGTATACACTAAATCACCAATGCTATCTGCAGCGACCCTGCTGTCAGATAGCGATTGGCGACGTGCTGTCATTTAACCCCATTAACCCAAAGAGACATGGTTGGATGAACCCTAACAAGTCCTGTACATGCCTGACATGGACAGAACTAACTGACCCGGGTAGAAACCATGTCTGTAACAAAACATCCCGTTAACCCGAAGGTTTTACACTACCTGGAAGGCTTCATGCCTCACTGTCTGCAGGACGGGTGGCCTCAGCAGACAGTGATGTAGTTGCTGATGCAGTACATGGATAGATTTATAAGCAAACACAGTCCTTGGTGCTTAATGTACTGCTGAATTGCACAGGATTGTGCACAACACGCAAAAGCACAGGTTCCTGCCCATTCCCATCAAGCAAGTATGGTCCACGCAAATATTCAGCTTCTCCTTGCTGATGAATGTGGCCGGTGCATGTCAGGCAGTGGCCATGGAGGCTGAGCCTGAAGTGATATTGAGTTGATTGATTTGAATGCCGGCATTTCCAGCCGTTCCCAGATAAACAGCCGGACTCAGCTTTCAGTTACTGTGCCAGAAACCTGGAGAAACTCCACAGAGGTTGGTGGATTTGCACCAGTCTCTCTGGAGACAGAGTTTGGGTCCAGGAAAGATGATGGACCAAGGAAGGAGCATCACTGAGACCCCAAACAGTGCGACCCAGGGGCTGGGGTTGCCTGGTCTGTGGCCATCGGAGGAAGCGATCTGGTGCCTCTCAGGTGTTCCCGATGGACTTTGTGCTGTTTTTGATCTCTGTGGACGCCCTCCCTGAGAACCTGAGCATTGCATTGCACATAAGCATTGGGACATAACTGGGTTTGCAACCTCCACCTTAAATTTGATGTCCCTGTGAGATTACTGAATGGGCCAGAGGAGCTGCTTTGCGGAGGTCACACCTCTGTGAAGCAGGGTCCGTGCTCGTTCTGCTCTTTCTTACCCCAGGGTCCTGCACTGCCCGGTGCGTGTGGACCCCTCGTTACACCAGGAGTTAGCGCTCGGCAGGAGTCATCTGTGCTGCGGCTGGAAATCGGCTTCAGCACGGGGTGGTGAGCTCATCCTTTTCTCCACTGAGAGCTCACACCACGGGCGAGTGTTCACAGCTGCAGCGGGTTACGAATTATCTGGAATTTTGGCTGGAGGTTGTGATCCCTCCCCAGCCTCTGCCCGTGCTGAAGAATGCGTGATCGCTGCCTGGCTGTGTTGACACAGAAAGCAGCAGCTCACCTCTGGATGAGAGCTCAGAGCAAAGCCGTGCCCTGACATGGCCAGAGCGTGGCTGTGCAGGCTGTGCTGATGGCGGGGCTGGGTTTTGGGGCTCCCCAAAAGAGGGGCAACAAGAGACCACCACGATTCAATGACCATCGTGTCTTACAAACCCTCCTCTGCTGTCAGCAGTGACTGCCTGCCCAGCCATTGCTCTTCAAGAGGAATGAGCTGTTGCTGCAGGAACCTGGGGTTGGTTTATATACCTTTATTTATTATTTTTTACACCAGTGGGTGCTCTGCCAAGGCGATGCCTTAGGCAAAAGTTGACCTAAGCATTGGTGATGCTGAGAGGTGGGATCCCCAGGTCTCTGGCACTGATTTCCCAGACAAGCAACTCTGTGCCCCTTATCCTGTCTTGCTGAAATGGGGAGGATGCTTCCCTGCTCCCCAGCGGGACAATAAGGGTTAATGGAGTCCTGCCTGTAAAAAAAGGCAACTGGAATGAGAGCAGAAAGCGTTGCAGTTGCTGATTGCTTGCTCTGGAAATGGGAGCTCTTTCAGTCCCAGGTCCCAGCGGTGCCCAAATTGCTCCCTTGGGGTCAGGGCTGGGATTAGGAAGGCGCCGGCTGCCCTGCTGGGGTCTGTTTCCTGCCTCTGACCGAATCCAGCTCTCCTCCTCCCAGTGCGTTAACGTCTGATCTCTCCCAGCCCTGTCTCCACGTCTGTCTCTGCAGTGTGCTCCCAGGCCGCTTTTCTCCCCTCTCTCTGTCCCCGCTCTGTCCCATGTGCCTCTTGGTACGTGTGAGCATCTCTGGTCCACGCAGGTGTGGCCGTGGCACCGAGCCCCTGTTCCCCTCTCCTTTTCGTGGCTGTGTGATGGAGAGGGGGGAGTGTTGGTGTGCACAACCACCACCCCACGGCCCAGCACCTGGCTCTGAGGGCGATGGGGCCAACGTGAGAACCAAAGGATGCTCCTTCACCCCGGGGCTTCCGAGTCAGCACAGGCTGATGGAGAGCAGTGACTGAGGCGAATCCTTTGTGCTGGCTTTCGGCCACCTTGGTCCAGAGGAGGGCTCAGCTCCTCTGCAGAGGTCCCTTTGGTGCTGGCACATCCTTCCTGAGATCTGTAAGAGCAGCGTGCCCGCCATGGCGCTTGGTGAAAGCACAGAGAGCAGCGTATGTTCCCCTTGCAACCAGGCTATGGCTGAGAGCCCAGCGAGTAGGAACCAACCCTGAGGTGTAGATGATCCCATTTCTCCCGCACAGCCCCGCTATCTCCAGCAATAGCTCATTCACACACGGGTGCGAGTCCCAAACCAAGGTCCAAGGTAATTTTTGGGGCTCTGGGGATGTTTTCTCACCCCCTCGTCTCCCGCTCCTGCCGTAGCTGGTGTGTGTGTGCCGTGGTTTGCCATCCCCGCTGGTCCCAGACCTCTCCAGTCGTTGGTGTTTTCCAGTGTGGTGTTTAACTGCTCCCGTAACCACTAAACGGCTCCCGGTAACCGCTCCTCGTGTGTGCATCTCTCGTGTAACCCGGTTGTCCGTGCGCAAGAGGCCGCCGACCCCACGCCCGCTGCGGCGCCGGGGCCGCGCTCTGAACGGGGGCGGCTTCAGTGGAATTGGAGCCCTTGTTCAGAGACGTAACGGGTAAAAGGAATTACAAAGCGGTGTGACATCGTGAGATGCTGTCGTGGTTTGATACGGTGCAATTGCCATTTTAATTTGTATTATCCTACCAGATATTGAGACTTTGCTTTGCCTTTTTTGATGATTTTTTTTTTTTAACCTTTATTTCCGTTACAGCATTTTTCAGAAATGCATATTTTGGTCACTCTTTTAAAAGTTCTGTGCACATTGATCATTTCTGTTCTTTCAGTTTTTGTGGACATAAGCTTTATGTTTTACACCAGAAAAGGTATTTATTTTTTACGTTTTCTCTCTGGTATATCTCCTCCTTTTGGATGATGTGTATGCAAATCTTAATTAATTACCACTCCACTTTCTCTCTCACTTAAGCACTTTAAAACTGCCTCTACTTCCCCCTTCTGTGGAGAGGTGATCTTGTGCATGCTGACATGTTAAAGAGAGGCTACTGCACACGGGCATTAATGATCTCCCATTTCCGATGAGTCTCTGTCGTATCATTAATCTTACTGGGGTTTAAGCTGTCCTTTCCCTCGAATCCAGATCAGGTGCCGGTGTGTGTTGTGCCTCCCCCTCCCCAGGTTGCCCGCGGTGGCGAGGAGCTCATTGCCTTTTCCTTTCTCGCACGGACAGGTCCAAATCGTTTACAAGCCGGTCGACCTGAGCCACGTGACATCCAAATGTGGTTCCCTGGGCAACATCCACCACAAACCAGGTACCCCTCGGCTCTGCTGCGTCCCGGTGGGCGTCTGGAGATGGGGAGAGGGCCGGGGTGGCGCAGGGAGCGAGGGGAGAGATGTGGAGCAGTGACTGGAGCAGCCCTGGGGTGCATCGAGCCCAGCTCCCTCACTGCCAGATCCTCGGTAACAGGGGAGGGATCTGGTGTGACCCACGGACACCCTCGTCTGTGCCAACACAGCACTGAGATTGGGATTGAATAGGGGAGTAAGGCCCTGTAAAACACGAGGACGTCTGCCAGCTCTGCACAGCATCCTTTGGAGAGCCTCTGCACCTTGGTTCCCATTTGCCCTGGCTCCTGGGTTTTCCAAATCACCATGGGGTCCCTCTCGCTGCCGTTTTCCTGGTCCTCACCCTCTGCTTTGGTTGAGCCGCCTTGGAGCAGCAGCTCAGACCTCGGTGCTGTCTCTCCAGCCTGCACGGGATCTCACCCAGCTCCTGCCCTTCTCTTGCAGGCGGTGGCCAGGTGGAGGTGAAATCTGAGAAACTGGACTTCAAAGATAAGGTGCAATCGAAAATCGGGTCCTTAGATAACATCAGCCACGTCCCTGGAGGAGGAAATAAAAAGGTAAAGGGGCTGCAAGGGCCTGTGTGCCCTGCGAGCAGGTACGCAAGCAAAGAGGGATTGAAGGCTGGGCTTGGAGAAGGTCCTGCTCAGTGCCTGAAACACTTTGCTGCCCATGCTCTAGCGTGGGCTGCTCTGTGTCCTTCAGAGGACAGAAAGTGCCCTGCCCAGGGACAGAGAGAGCCAAGGGTCCCTGTGTGCCAACCCGGGGGTCATTTCCTGGGGCGGAGCCGGGCAGAGCTGTGAGGGTGACGGTGTCTGTGCTGCTCCTGGCCTGTGGCCACCTGAATGAGTGTGAATGTGGTGACCTCTCCTGTGGTTTCCTGCTCTTCGTCTGAAGTTTGCGTCTCAAACCTTTCACGTTAGGGGTGCCACTGTCCCCAGCTGCCAAAGCTGGCAGCTCAGGGTGCTGCAGGGGTGCTGGTTCCCCAGTGGAAGTGGGGCAGGAGAGGCTTAGCTGTGTTTAGCAAGGGTGACTTTGCAGCACCTCTTCTTACCTCAGACCTCAGTCCCTCCGCTGAGACTCCCTGAGGGCTCTGCCAGGGAGCGGTGCGTGTTTGGGGGGATTAAAATTGGAAGGCAAAAGCCAACCAGGTCAGGTGAAACAGTGACCCTGGGGTGAGCTGGTCCTGCCAGAGGCTTTGATGGTGACTCCTCAGTGAGTCTTAGCTGAGTAAAACACCACCACCTCGCTGCAGGGACAGCCACGGAGGGGGGATCGGGTAAGCACCGAGTGAGGCTGCAGCGGTGGCACACGTGGGTGAATTTCTCCAGGGAAAAGTGGTTTTAATCTTGCTTGGTTTTCCAACACTTCTCTCTCAATGGGAGGGGAAAGCTCTGTTTCGGCTCCTGTATTTGGCACTTACTTTGTTCTTGGCCACGTTTCCTCTGTGCACCTCCCAGCTCTCCGTCTCCCAGCCCTGCGCTGGCCTCTGACCGAGGGATCGCTTGACTTCCTTACCCTTCTCTCGCTGCTGCTGCGCATCAGACTCTGCTTCACTAAGCCCATTTTCATCATTTTTACGATTCCATTGACGATTCTTTCACATCCCGGCACATTCACTGGGCCGCAGTTTGACGAGCTCGCCTTTCGGAGGGGGAGTTGAATTGCAGGGATGCGACCCAGCAGCAGCTGCCTCAGTGTGGGTGGTCGCCCATACCCTGCCTAAATCCACACCTGAAGGAGGTTGGTGGTGTCACTGGAGCCCAGATGCTGCTGCAGGTTGCTTCCCTTGTCCAGCCCGTTCCCATTCGCACCAGGGACCATCCTTGGGCAGTGCAGTTTTGGGGTAGGATGCTCTGCTCATAGGGAAGGGGCTGGACACAGCTGAGCCCCATCAGCTCTCAGTGTGGGTGTCCCCACTGCCCATTCCCCAACCTTTCCAGTGTCCCCAGTCCCTTCCTTCCCGTGCAGCACAGAAGATCCAGACTGGGGGTCTCACTCCACAGCTCTCAGGGCTGAACACTGGTTTATGTGCCACTCATACTGGGTTTTCTGTGGGGAGATGGGCTGCTGTGTGCTCTGCCAAAATACCTGTGCCAGCAGCATCTGCTCCCCTTCGCCACACTGGGGGGTGCAGTTTCTCCTGCAATTCCTCCCCGTCTCCAAAGGCAGCCGCTGTTCTGCTGCGAGTCAGTGAATGGCCCTGTTTTCCAGATCTTTTTTTCTCCCCAGTTTTCTATTTCTCGCCTTGATTTTATTTTTTGGGGTCTTTTTCCTTCTGGTTGACATTTCCTGGCTCTCGGTTTTTGTTGCTGATGCGTTTTTTTCGCACCCCCACCGCCCTGGGGGGGGTTTCTTCACCTGTAGAGAGAGAAAGGCAAGGAAGACAAGAGCCATCCCCAGGCTGGCCGGACCCCGAGCCCAGACCCCGCTGGGCTCCAGGCCCTGGTGCTGGAGCCACCCC